AGCCAATCCACCATGTCATCCAGCTGTCATAGTTCCTTCTTTCGCGCAACCATCGATTCCATTTGCCTGACAACTCCTCCAAGACCTCGTCTGTGAGTACATGTGCACGAATAGACCAATAACCGTTTCCAAACGGTTTTCCCAAATCAGGCAAGCAACACCTTGTTTTGAAAGCTTTGTGATCAGAGAAGGACGTAACCAGATATTCTGACGAACGGAGATGCGGAACAAGGGCCGACGAGACGTACACTCTATCAAGTCGAGAAGCGGAATTAGGACGAATAAAACTAAACTCATTTTGATTAGCATGCAGAACATCCCAGGAATCAATGAGAGACATGCCATTAACAAAACTTTTGAGAGACAAGCTATTGCTGTTTGCGCCAGTTGCATCTTTATTGTTCACGACGCAGTTAAAGTCGCCACCTATGATCAGGTGTTCGGTTGAGTTTTGTAGATAAAAGGGAAGAGAGTTTTGGAACAAAGATTCACGTGTAGAGCAGTTTTGTACACCAGAAGGGGCATATATATATTACATATTGTTACAGAACTGCCTATTTTTACTGTTAAAATTTGACTATCGAGGCTGCGTTGCACGTTTGAGTAAGGAATGTGTGCTTTCAATGCAATGGCAGTCCCTCTTCTGGCAATGTCCACATTAGTAATGACATTGAAGCCTGGGATGCACAAATGAGAGTTTTCTACTTCTTGGAGGAGAACAATGTCTAGGTCAGTCAGGCGAATAAACTATTGGATTTTGTTTGTATTGGATATAGCGTTGGTGTTAATACTACCTATATTGTAGCTTGTTAGTGGAGGGCACATTTAGGTTACAAGGGGAATCAGATTTTCGAATTAGTGGTTGGGTTTGTCTGTGAAAGAGGAGAATTGATCCGTTGTTTTTTCGGACGGCCTCTTCCTCGCTTCACGGATTGTTTTCGCCGGCAGAGTCGTTACTTTCGCTTTCGGAAATCTCCATGGAAAGGGATAGGAGGGAAGGTGAAGCAGCCTGTGGTTAATTCAATGGGGTTTTGTGACGGAATCACTGGAGTTTTGAAGGTACTTACATCACCAGAGCTAGCAGTTTTTTCGACGTTTTGTTGGACATTGCTGGTCCCCTCAGCATTTGGCAGCTGTTAGGTGGATCGCTCTCCAGTTATCGTCTCCTGTTGTTGGTTCACGGTTGTTTCGTTGGTGTTGGTTTTCCCCATTCCGTTTTGATCCATTTCGTGATCGTGCTCGGTTGTTTCTACGGCACTTGAAGTCGTAGTTGTAGGAATGATTGTGATGCTGGTCGAGGGGGCCATGAGAGCATCTGATGAAACGGAGGAGACAATTTGCTGGCTTGGTCGTTCGAGTGTGTTGCCTATTGTATACGTCTCGTTGGTGGAGAATAACCGCGAGAACGGAGGTGTTGGAGACAATGGAGCTTCATTGTTCAACACAGCTGCAAAAGCGGCCAGTGATGACCCAGTGTTTGCTCCTTGTGTGCTTGGACCTGGACCGTTTGATGCTTGCACTCGTTTCAAGCGGGTTTCGAGGTCAACCTTTTGTCCCAGCAGTTTTTTATTTTCGACGCATGTACTGCCTGGATGAGACTGATTCTGGCAATGTCGATACGTTTGAGGCTGGTTTCGATAAGTCACCAAAGTTCGTTCTCCTTGGATGGTGATGAGTGATCTGATGTGTCACCGCAAGTTCATCTTGATGACCCAAACCACAGAACAGAAGGGGAAGTGCAAACAAATCGGTGAATCAAAAGGTGGTTCGTTTTTCTGCTCAACAAGCGATGTATTGTGGTAGCGTTCCACACGGGCTTTCTATGTGCACTCACACTATCATAGGATGCTGCCTATCTTAACTACAGGCAGAAGATGCCTTCTACCGCTAGGTGCGCTAATGTTCGCAAATGACAAGTGGAGCCACTTTCTGATCCGAAGTTCCACTCCTGTGCCCAAACTCCTGAAGCGGTCCCTTTGCCGACAAAGTTTTCGCTCCAGCTTTGCTCTTTGGTGCTCAATACATCGCCGAACTGCTTTAAGGCAGCAATCATTTCGTAGACAGGTAATGGAATTTAATTTCCACACCCCCATCATCCATCTGAAGTCGCACCTTGTACTTCTTTTTGTTCACCTCCAGCTCATGTCGTTCGTCATGATGAATCACCGTGTCCTGGGCTGTTTTTAGGTCAATGCACTTGACATGCACGCAGTTTTGTGCGTGGTTCATTTGAAGACGCAGTACTTGGCCGAGTCGCAACCCAAGAGTTTGATACACAAACAAGTGTAGTTCTTCGAACGATGGACGCTTTGGGAAGGTGGATAGGAGTACCTTGAAGGTTTTTTCACGAGCTCTCACAGATGTCATTGTCGCAGGGAAGTGCATACGATATGTGGACAGCGAGATTGTCGTCAGTAATTGACGCTAAGATTTTTCACACACCAAAGTGTGGAAAGAGTGAAACCGAAAACTATTTAACACGGATCTCGATTACAGAACGTCTGGTCGCGGCGAGAGCTTGAACCTAACTGATGGTTGATAACACTGTTAATACCCAGTGATAAACACCACGAAAACATTATAATTTGATAGCATTATCATTATTTTTTTCTTCTTTTCATCTCTGCTCGTTCTTTTTTTAACCTTCAGAAGAGTGTTCAGTAATGACCCGATTTTGTCAGCCCCATTTTCGAAAATCTATTCTAATATTCGACGAAACTCATGCACTTTTTTAGTGATCTTATTGCACCAAAGTATACCTTAGACAACTATCTTGAAGATAAATGAGAAAAAATTGGAATAACGGTTATGTGAAATAAATAAAATATGACAGTCTGCTGTGCGGAGGGGGCTGACAAAATCGGGACACTACTGTATTCGTCTTTATTATGTTTTTGATGTAGCACTACGTCTGTGATTTCTATAAAAGCGTACACCTTGTGAAAACCAAAAATGGATCATGTAACGAAACTATGAAAGATTTCAAACGTTAATAACTCAACTGCCCCTGGACCAATTTCAATAACTGTATCACCAATCGATCAGAAATATTTTTACGCATCTGTTAAATTTAAGACTTTATCATTTTTCAAAATGTCACTATTGAAAATTGCACGAATGTGCAACTGTTGCTATGGTACTTAAAAGTATTACCGATTCCCTGCAAAATGTGATTTCCCTAACACAGATTTCAAAGTTGAATTGCATTCGGTCTCACCAAACGGTGTTTATTCAATCACCACGTGGTGAGTGGTGCTGTTCTCCAGTGCACAACGAAAGGCTCCCCACAAGCAGCTAGCTATCAAGGCTGCCGTCAGCCGCTGATCGGATTCAGTCCAATCACCGTGTGTGGTGGTGTCCGGTCATCGGCATCAGCAGCAGCAGTGCTTTCGGCGCCTGGAGTTGAACATTTTTCTCCAGTACACAACGAAAGGATGCCTGCAAGCAGCGAGCTGCAGCCCACATAAGCATCCATAGGAGGAAGAAGTCGTAGCGCTATTGATCGGAATCAGCAGCTCTTAGTGAGTCACTGTGGGCCATCTATGTCAAGCGCGTCCATCATTCTAAACAACATACTGCTCACCAGCCTCATCTGTGTTTAACACCCTAATAGCTCAGCATTACTCAACCATCACGGCAAAACGATAAATTTGTAAAATAGAATTTTTTGGACATTTGTCAAGATCATCAATCGGGGCGACCCCGGTGTAGTGGTTAACATCCATACCTCTCACGCCAAAGTCACGAGTTCAAATCTCACCCCCGGATAAGTCACGAATGACCCAAAGAGGGTCAAAAAAAAAGGTCATCAAGCAGATGTCCGTTCCCATAGATAGAGCAGGAATAAGGGTGCAACAGCTTTTATAAACAATGACACCATCAGGTAGCGTGAGACTAATGTTGTTTGCGTGGACGTGAATTCTAAAAACATCATCGAGAGAAGTCATTGTTTACAAAAGCTGGTCCGCCTGATTCCAGCTCTATCTAGTTTTGTTTAAATCTAACATACAATTTCAATAAAACCAAAGTCGGTCACGGCATGCAAGTGGTCTGATTTTGATCCAGAGATGATGGATTTTAATCTTAATACGCCAATCGATAGGAATTTTTTTCTACGAATCTCTTAAATTTATGACTTTATCATTTTTCAAAATGTCACTATTGAAAATAGCACGAATGTGCAACTGTTGCTGTGATAATAACAATTATTACCGATTGCCTGCAAAAAGCGGTTTCCCTAACACAGATTTCAACATTTAATTACATCCGGTCTCACCAAACGGTGTTTATTCAATCACCGCGTAGTGAGTGGTGGTGTTCTTTAGTACACAACGAAAGGCTGCATGCATGCAGCGAGCTGCAGCCCACATGAGCATCCATAGAAGGAGGAAGAAACCGCTCCGCTATTGATCGGAATCAGTAGCTCTTCGTGAGTCGCTGTGGGCCATCGATGTCAAGAGTAAAAACAGAGAGCCCCACTCAAATTCCTTTTACTATACAAAACACAAGCTCCTGCTGCAGTTAACAAATAAGATTTATTATTTAAGACCACGTTGTCCTACGTCACCATTGCGTACAACCCCATGGGGCTGTCCATTGTAGTTTTTTTTTTCTCAAGCTGATAGCGATCAAAGCTAATATTGCTTTATTAATTTTTTTACTTCTCTTCATCACTACTCGTACTTTCTAGTATCCAAACAAATTATCGATTTTTATTGTTAGTCATTTAACATTCAAAGTAATTATTCTTTCCACTAATTTCCATCTGGCCATGGGGGGCTTCACAACAAAATGCACCACTTTTTGTCCCTCTTTGAACCATTTTCAGATAATTTTACCTTAAAATGTCTGTTGTCATCATTGATAGTCGCAAGTTTTGTGGATGCTCTCAGTACCACTGCTCTGAGAAATCACCTAGAAATTAAATGTTTCATTCGATCCACTCTTTCATCCGCAAACGCTAACATTTAATTGTTTAAGGCTAAGAATGTGTTACTTACCACTACGATCCCGAAACCAGTTCACTTCACAAACAAAACAGAATGAAGATTCCTGTAACCGATCACCGGTTTATCTGTGAATGAAAGAGAAAATGGCACATTAAATAACGGACATAAGATACGCAATGAATGATCCGTAATGGTTTTAGTCTTTCCCAAATTCACATTACAACCGTCCTCAAAAACAACCCATCTTCGGTAATTCCGCACCAGTCGAGGCTTATCAGCGAATTTAGTGCCAAATATTTCCTAGTACCACTTTAATGGTTTACCCACAAAATGAACCCCAAACAATTCCACACCCAAGACCGGTACCGGCCGATTGTGCGAAGGCTGCCCGTTCCGAGAAGAAAGGTACTCCGGTATGTTTGTGTAGGACGATGTAGGAAAAACAGAGTCAACTATCCTACATCCTGCGTCGTCGGCGTCGTCGTATTCGAGCAATAAAAAGCAAAGCTTTGCACATACAGCCGTCGCCGTCCGGAACATGTTGGACGTGACGGTAGTAAAATTGCGAACTTGAAACTCCCTGACAGACTTGGCATCTCCATCGGGTTTCTATTTTTTTTTTTTGCCCGACGCGTTTTCCAGAGGCACAGCATTTCATTGCTCTTCCGAATAGGAGAGACCGGAAGATGGAAATAGCTCACCATCCTAAAATATGTTCAAAACAAAAAGAGTAGACAACTGGGACTGAAAGTTGTCTCCATTTGAGTGTGCGTTTCGACCGGAATTACTTGTTGTCTACCAAAGCGAATGACTCGTGTGACTAAATTTTGCAGCGATGCAGCCATTTGGCAAACGGTGAAACGGGACGAAAGGGATCGGTCGGTTGTTTGGCTGCTATCTGCTCCAGAGCTAAACGATGGGTCGACCACAAAATTCTGATAAATATTCATGACACGATGCGACACAAACACTCGTCGAATGTACAAACCCTCTATGGCTACCGTTCACAGAATAGTCGTAAAATGGTTGATAGTTTCAGCGGCATTCAGTGACTGTTTGACTGTAGTGCGATGGCTGCGGTGTGGTAGCGCGCTTCGGTCTCCGGGGAAACTGCATGAGGTCGTAATTTTTAATCTTAATGGTGGAAACGTTCTACTTGTCGGCGGCTTTCAAGGAACTGGAATCGGCAATGGGATGACACTGTGGAATGAGGTCACGGGAATGCTCCTTAAGATGGTTTGCACAATGTGAAATTGTTTTCGAATCAGCACAGCAGCTCATTCTGAAGTTTACTTGTGATGTAAACATTGATGCGTACATACTTATATTAAATTCCAGCAACTTTGCAAGAAATTTTGTTTACAAAGATGAAAGGTTGCATACGATATTTGCATCATTCCATTAAATTTCTCAGAACTTTACACAATATATAATGTTAACTTGTATGATAGAACCAAAAGCATTTCAACAGCTTCAAGTCTGTCAAGTTCAATTATGGGATTCAACGGAACAAGCAATCCATTGAACATCTTTCAAATTCGTCACCCGAAAACATTTACTGACGAGGATTTGAATTCCGAACAATACCACTAAATGATTCGTTTTTTCGAACTGCAAATGAACGTCAACCAGCTGTCAAAATTTCCCTTTGAGAAGAACAAGAAGACATTGGTTTGCCCACTCAACCGATGACTTGCTTGAGTGACACTCGGCAGTGCGCGATTCCAGCGTAACCGATATTTTTCAAAATATTTTGGAAGTGAAGCACCACTTGGGGTGCACTTCATCTCGCACTATTGCTGTTGCCTTTTTTCGACAACTAGAGTGGAACGTGAATTGGACGACGAGCCAAAGTTTTCTTCTAGTATGTATTTTGCCCGTAGTGCTAGAGTGAAACGGACTTATTTTACATGATCATAGGCGTAGCTACGCCCACAACACAGTAAATTTTATTATTTTATTTTTTATATAAATTAAAAATATTTCACAAATGTTTCAACTATGCCTCTTACTCCAAAGGGCCTGGTTTAATCCCTGTCGGCGTCGTCGAGATTTTATGAGGCATACAATCGTGCCTTCCTTTGGAAGGGAAGTAAAGCCGTTGGTCTCCGGTCAATGATTTGATGGGTCGATAGGTAGGATCCAGGTGTGGGAGCTACCTTTCTGGCTTTGAAAATTTCCATAAGAATTTTGAAAAAAAAAATGCAATGGAATTTTAAGGAGAACCAAAAAACACTTCCAGAGATAACTCAATGAGAGTGTAAAAAAAAAACAACATACAAGAACGAACAGAGCTGCTGAAGAGAATTCCAAGATAAGATAACTTCAGAGAATTGTTAGGATAAATCCAAGTGAATTTAAACGATAATTTTTGCGGCATTCCGAAGTGAACTAATTTTGTTAGTTAAACTTTTTACGGGACTAACTTCAAGCGACTTTACGAGGATTACTGATGAGACGTTCTTTCTTGTAGACAGGTTTTCGTCGAACACCATCCTTACCCCTGTAAAACGTCTATTGGTAGAAGACACACTTCTGATATTGCTCTTTTGAATAACCCTCTTGAAGTTTGCACTAGAGCTACTCGTACGTGCCCGTCGCTCCCTGGATACATGTCCACGATACGTCCTATGTTCCAAGGTGGAAGGTTTTCTTGTTTCAGCAAAACTAACGCGCCTTTGTATAGATCGTGCTGGACCTCGGTTTGCCATTTCGAACGCTGATGAAGTTGACTGATATAATCGTGAGCCCATTGGCACCAAAAATCTTGAATGGAATGCCTCATATCCTGTAATCGATTCAATCGATTAACATTGACATCGGTTACATCGGGTTCGGGGATGGAAAACATTGGTTCTCCGATTAATAGATGCCCGGAGTCAACGCGGTTAGATCCTTAGGATCATTGGAACGCGGAGTCAATGGTCTAGAGTTCAGCATGGCTTCTATTTGATTTATAATCATTCCGAATACTCGACGAAAATTGTGCTTAAAGGGTTTGACGCCAGCTTCCCATAAACTGCGGTTGATTTTGCAAGCTGTGATATCGCAGCTCGGAATATCAAGCTAACAAAACTCACCAACTGCAAATCTCACCAAACTGTGGTGAGATTGAGTTTAATGATTTTTGCTTCACACCCGAATGCAACCGAAACTTCCATAACAGCTTGCAGTCTCAGTCATGCAGCAGTCTGCCATCGGTGAAGATTAAAAAGAGATAGCAAACTATGCTTTCTTTTTCTTAGAAAACGATGTGCAATAGAATAATTTTTGTGTTGAGTCAACTCTCAGCTTGAGTTTTGCACGTTGTGAATAGTCGCGCAATATCAAAGGAGCTTGTAGAATCAATATCAAGCATGATATTTTGTTCCAATATCACGTGATATTGCGAGCCCATGAGAGCGGAAAAATATCAATTGATTTCTGATTTTGCCAACACTGCTGAAGAGTTTACCAAGAGAATTCCTCGAAATATCCTTTTTTATTATCTCGTTAGTTTATTTGGAAGGCTCAATTACGTTAGCTTTACGGAGCCGATAATTCATTGTTTATTGTTTTAAACAAAATTCACTTATTTCTATGTCTAGTAGGAGTTCGACCGAATACTTGCGGCTTACCCGATAACCCGGGAACATTGTCAAGGGAGATTGAGATCTCATCAGAGCATTGTCACCAGTATGAACGGTACTGCGGTTTAAGATTCGTCAGGAGTTTGACCGGCTAGGGTGACCAAAGGGCTACAATAAGGCTGATAGAGACGGCGGGACAAGGCAAACAATGATATCAGAATTATCTAATTTGAGTATTTATGAGAATATAAACATCCGTAAACAGACACTGCTTTACGGAGAACTTAGTGCCCCGAAAGGCCTCCAATTGTTCTTCGAGGTAATTGCTTGTGAAGCCTTTTTTTCGAAACGACTAGTTGATGCTTGCTGCAGAGGAGTTAATTTTTTAAATAAGCAGATGTTTAATATGGGATTTTAATTGTGATTTTTTCTCTGAAAATTACGAAGAAAAAGAACTGTATAAGGAAACACCTTAAACATGATGTATGGAAAACTGGAATAAAAGTTGCATCCAATAGCAGATAAGATGCGAAGAGATGATTTAGCCATATGGCTAAAAATCTCTATAGGAAAGGAAAGCGTCTGTTCACCATGGAGGTGCGGCACAAACAGCGTCTGTCTCGGAGCGAGCGGCTGAATAAGAAATGCTGTATCACGTCAGCTACACCTAAGGTGGCAGCCCCACCAACATGATGTAGGTATCGCGACCCCGGTAAGGTAGCATACTGAAACCCCCAACATTACTCAGAAAAACGAAGAAAGAGAAAACAACGAACGGAATTTTCGGCAACCGACCCGGCAACGAAATAAGGACAATGAATGGAAACTCGGTACTTGGAATGTCAGAACCTTAAATGAACCTGGACGAGCGGGCCTTTTGGCTCGTGAACTGCAAAAAGTGAATGTGAGCGTAGCTGCTATTCAGGAAGTACGGTGGCCTAGATCCGGAGAACATGAATTCCGGGCGGTGGATCCCATCGCCAACACTTCCTTCAAGTACCATATCTATCACAGCGGTGGCGATAGGGCAGAACATGGAGTAGGGTTCATAGTGATCGGGAAGCAGATGAAGCGTGTTATGCGGTGGAGACCGGTAAGCGACCGCATCTGTGTATTAAGGATTCGGGGCAAATTCTTCAACTACAGCCTGATCAACATCTATGCGCCAACCAACGATAAATCCGATGACGTGAAGGACGCGTTTTATGACAGTCTCGATAAAACTTATGATGAGTGCCCAAAACACGACGTGAAGATTGTAATCGGAGATGCAAATGCGCAGGTCGGGAGGGAAGATTTCTTTCGTCCAATCATTGGTACAGAGAGCCTACATACAGTAACCAATGATAACGGCCTGAAACTGATAAACTTCGCCGCTGCTAGAGGTATGGCCATCAGTAGCACCTACTTTGCACGCAAGAATATCCGAAAGCACACCTGGAGACACCCAAATGGCGAAACTTGCACCCAGATCGATCACATGTTGGTGGATGGCCGGCACTTCTCAGATGTCATTGATGTAAGGACTTTTAGGGGGCCTAACATTGACTCAGATC